CGGTTCAGCTTCTACTGCGTAGGGCCCCATCAATCCTATGGATGACCCTGAACTGCATTAGCTTAGGAGTTGGGCCAGGAATCGCTGTGATGGTGGGTTAGCTGGTGATTGTGTACGATAATGGCTGCAGTGCTTTAAAAGCCCTCTAAATTTGTGCACACAGTGTTTCATCTGCAATCACAAGAGCAAAGGGGAGCGTATCACTCAAGTCTGCAGACCAGGTCATTAGAGACTATCCATCACATTCAGTCAGTTTTGTCCACGGTCCATTCCAGAAGTTAAATTAGAATCTGGCTTCAGGTGCCTTTATGACATTTGACATTATACAGCTAAAATATCTTGGATGCCATAATGCTGTTGATAGATGTGTCTTCATGATGCAACGCAGCATGGTGCCTCCAAGAAGTGTGGGCTCCCTAGGGCACAGAGGTGCTGACCTTTTTGGAGAGAGCAGTTGAGGTCTTGGTCAGCATTTTAGAAAGGCATCTCTGCCAGACGTGAATTTGAGAGGAGGCTCGCCAGGCAAATGGCATGGAGAGCTGGTCGGAACACTTTCCATGCAGTGAAATCTTATTGCAGGAGACCCAGTACAAGCCCCTCCTTTGTGTGAATTAGGGTGGTCTGGTATGAAAAACTTGTTTGAATCAGGCAGGCAGGGACTTTAAACCAGGTCTCCCCTTCCCTCCCTTTCAGAACCTTGGGAGTTGCCATGAGATGGGTTGGTTGTTCTCAGGCATGGCGCAATGTGAGAGGGATGGAGTAGATGCCCTCCCTCCCTTAGTGCTGCCCTGCTTGTAAGGCTAGGAGCCTCCAGGGTTTCATATTGATATCACTAGGGAGTGGGGTAGGTGAAGTGTCTCCATTGTACTTAATAAGCTCATTGCTTCTCTTTTCCTCTACCTTCTTGCTCATTAGCCACGCTGGGGGCGATGGAGTTCAGCCTGCTCTACGACCAGGAGAAAAGCTCTTTGCACTGCACGCTCATCAAAGCAAAAGTAAGTGCATCCCTGCGGGAAAATGAAATGACTTGGGAGTAGGACAGCAGGCAAAGCCTGATTCAGTTACAGAGGCACCTGCTTGCTCCACGTAGACCAGGACACTGTCCTCCTCTGGTAAAGTGCATTTCGGAACTCCCCCTCCCCCTACTGTTTCCTCCACTTCCCAAGACCCATTCTGGTTTCCCTTGAGCTGAATGTAATGGGACTGAAGCTATTTCTGCCACTGTTCCCCTTTCCCCATGGGCAGTGGGTGCACCTACAGCCCCACCTCCTCTGCTGAGGCCCCACCATGGAGAGAGGAGGAGGCAGGGCAGCCCAAGCACTTATGTGTCCCCCACCCACTATGGGTAGCAAAAGAGAGGAGGCATGCATGTGCCTCAGCTTCCCTGAAGCACCGGGCAGGGAGGCGGCCTCATGGCCCACACTAGCCTGTTCCTCCCTGGTCCCTGGAGCACCAGGCGCCAGCCTGAATCTCCCTGACTCCTGGAGCATCGGGAAGGAAGGAGGCCATGCGGTCCAAGTCTCCCTAGTCCTCAGAACACCAGGGAGGGAGGAGGCTTTGCAGTCTGAGCCTTCCTGGCCTTCCCAGCTCTTGGAGCACTGGGGAGGGAAGAAGCTGCCTAAGCTGGCCCAAGCTTCTCTGCCCCCCCCCCGGAGCACAGGGTGGGTGGGCACTGGGGGCAGCAACACTCTGCCCCTAGAATGGCTACAGGAAGTGTTCTTGGGGCGGAGCATAGTCAAAGCCGTGCCTGGCAGTTTGGGACAGGAAAAACCTTTGCTAACATTGCTAACAAGGATGCATGACTTCCATTTCTCTAGTAGCTGCGTGCTAGAGGTGGTAATAATTCCCCTAAGAGTGAGGTGCAGACTTGAGAGGAGTTAGGACTACATTGGGCATCTTTCCAGCTCTAGAGCTCTTTCTGGTTAAGAACACAAGAACAGCCATACTAGGTCAGATCACAAGGGCCATCTGTCCCAGTATGCTGTCTTCCTACAGTGGCCAATGCCAGGTGCTTCAGAGGGGATGAACAGAACCATCAAGCAAACCATCTCCTGTCTCTCATTCCCAGCCTCTGACAGAGGCTAGGGGCACCATTCCTACCCATCCTGGTTAATTGCCATTGATGGACCTAACCCTCCCTGAATTTATCTAGTTCTTTCTTGAACCCTGTTAAAGTCCTGGTCTTCACAACCTCCTCTGGCAAAGAGTTCCACAGGCTGACAGTGTGCTGTGTGAAGTAAACCTTCCTTTTCTTCGTTTTAAACTTGCTATTTATTTATTATATTGTGTGAATAAGTAAAGAACTTTTCCTTATTCACTTTTTCCATACCAATCAGGATTTTCTAGACCTCTATCATATCCCCTCTAAATCTCCTCTTTTCTAAGCTGAAAAGTCCAAGTCTTTTTAATCACTCTTTATCTGGGACCCATTCCAAACCCCGCATCATTTTTGTTGCCCTTTTCTGAACCTTTTTTGAGATGAGGCGACCACATCTGTATGCAGTATTCAAGATGTGGGCGTACTATGGTTTTATATAGAGGCAATAAGATATCCTGTGTAGAAGCTATTTTATGTTTAGCTAGAAGCCATCTTGTATATCAGAAACCATTTCAGCTTTTCTCTCAAGCACGTAGACCAGAGTGAACTTTCTGTCACCCCGTGAGAAGAGGCCTACAGGATGGGCTATTGGTATGTGTTAATTGGGCTGGTTGGGACAGGAGATGTACTCCCTCATACCTGTCCGCCATCTTGTTGATAAGGCTTTGTTTTTCCAAATTTAATTGAGGATTTCTGTAATTGGATGCCCTGACGTCAGACTGTTTGGCTAAGGGTATAAAGATACTAGAATTGATTGTATTAGCAGCTTTACTGGGCCCGACTTTGCTGGGACCACATTTGGCTCACTTTGCTTTACTGATCAATAAAGGAAATCAGTTGTTAGCTGCCTAAACAGAGAGGAGCGTGTTTTTGCTTCGACACCTGTGTCTTATTCTCTATCCTTTTTTAATGGATAGATTCCTAACATTCTGTTTGTTTTTGTTTTTTTGACTGCCACTGCACATTGAATGGATGTTTTCAGAGAACTATCCACAGTGACTCCGAGATCTGTCTGTTGAGTAGCTGTAGCTAAATTAGTCCCCATCATATTGTGTCTATATAGTTGGGATTATTTTTTCAATGTACGTTACTTTACATTTATCAACATTAAATTTCATTTACCATGTTGTTGCCAAAGACTTAGTTTGGTGAGATCTTTTTGAGCTCTTCACAGTCAGTTCTAGAGATTTTCCCTGTTCCAAGAGTCGGGAACATCTTGGAATCCTCTGCTGTCTCTAAAAGTGATGTGTCTCTGAACTGGAATCCCTTGGCTGGGCTATGTCCTTAGGAGAGGTGGTCATTTATTGTAGCAGTTTAGCAGATAATGGCGGCTTGAGCCAGTGTTGGAGGCCACATGCCAGGAGCCAGCATCACGTTTGACCTGAGCCTAGTAGGAGGCAATCTATGCGTGAGCGTACAGATGCCTGTCCTGCATCAGAGATGCTGAGTACACTGTAATTACCCACCAGCTTGCTCAGATCTAATTGATTTCCTGCAGTCACCTCATGGGGTTATCAGGGTTACTTCTGCCCATAGGCAGAGGGTTGATTATAGCAACGGTAACCATGACAGCTACTTGAGCTATGCAGAAAGAAATTGCCTAGTTAATTCCATCTCCTTTAACCACCTGCATGAAGCACTCATACCAAGGTTTCCAGAGCTGAATAGGGGTCATGCAGTGACAACAGTTGAGAAGTTAAGACATCACCCTTTAATTTCCTGATTCCTGTTTGCAATGATTTAGTTGACCTGCCATTTCTGTTTATATGCTTTATGGCAGCTAAACATTGCTTTCCAGGTAGTAGGTGCAATGAAACCCCAACCTGCAGCACCAGGGGTAATGAATTCGGTTCTAAAATTCTACCTTCACCCCTGTTAAAATGGTCAAGCAGATAAGTCCACGAATCCTCTGAACTAAACAGCACTGATTCAGATCTGAACCCAGAATTTGTTACTGCTGCTATGTAACCCACCACCTGCAGACAGTCGCAGGTAACATACCTAACTACCCATGGGCCTGTAGCACTCACCTCTTATCTGGTTAGAGCACATTACATTAAGTTACTTGAAATACAACAAAGGAGCCAGTGCAGCCATTCTGCTATCTCTCCTGATGGGAAAGGGCTGCTCTCTGCAGAGGATATTCACCAAGCCTCTGATCTGATGAAAACAGACTGATTTCCCATAGCAGTGAAACATCCCAAACCAAAACACCTGAAAAAGGGTGCCTTAAATAGGCTTGATTTCCACACTCAGCACTTCTAGAGCATCCAGCCCCTTTAAAGGTACCTTGGAGGAGGGTATCCAAAATCCCTAGACATGTGGGAAAATGTCAGCTTTCTGCTGCAGCCAACTGTGTTTCCGTAGTTTGTGGTGAAGCCATAGGATGGACTTGAGAAATGGAGGTAAATCCCTGAAGCCTGATTCTCCTCTCAATGTAGAACCCCAGTAACTTCCACTAGAGGTGATGGGGGACCCTGCAGGGCTGGGGGGAGGGCGGGAAGATTCGTGTTAACATTTCACCTGTTCTGTAAGGAGAATGCCATTGAATGCTCAACTGATTCTCCAGAATAAGGGGGTCTCTTCTCCTTGTGCTAACTGTGCTGCCCCCCAGTGGTATCATTTCAGGCTAGTTTTTCAGACCCTTTTGTGTGTCATGAAGACATACAAGCAAACCTTGCTTTCTTGACTGTGAGCTTGGAAGTTGGCTATAGATAATGCAGAACCATCTTGTGAGGTCATGGACTCAAAGACAATATGACCAGGTCAGCAGTGGAAAGTAGAGAATATTTAGAGCTGAAATCTAAGTGCTGGTTGAGTATGCAGACTGAATATTGGGCTTTCCACTTATTCAGAATGAAGACACTTACTTTATCCAGCACATACCTTCCCTTTATTAATTTGTTTTGTAATAAACTATTGCTAAATCCTTTACCCCTCCCCAGTGCATTTAAAGATAGCTAACCCCTTTCATTCTCTTTTAGGGCTTAAAGCCAATGGACTCCAATGGTTTAGCTGATCCTTATGTAAAATTGCACCTGTTGCCAGGAGCCAGTAAGGTAAATATATTTCCATGAATTTGCTTTACTCTGTTATACTGAAACCCTGAACAAAAATATGACAGATCTACTGTACGGTGCGGATTTTCCAATAAGCTGAGATGGCTGAATTCCATTAAAATTAACAGGTACTAAACATTCAAATCCTGTTGGAAATCTCAGCTCGCAGGCTTACAGATATTCCACATGGATAGAAAAATCTACAATGCCGTGTTAATCTCGAGCATTGATTCTTTTTAAACAAAAAATAACAATAGCGTGGAAGGAGTGAGAACTGGTTGCAAAGGCAGCTGCTCTATAGTAGGGATGTAAAATCCTGTTTAAAAAGTTAACCATTTACAGTATATGTTTAACCGATTAACTGACCACCACAGCTTGCTGCAGGTGAGTAGCTGCTCCATGCAGGCTTGGTTGGGCCTGTTTGTGCCACGTGTGAGGGGCTACTCCGTCCAGGCAACAATTAACCAGTTACTTGTATGCATCGTCTGGTAAGGGTGACACTTACAAGGTGACTGGTTAACCGGATACCCATTTATGTCCCTATTCTGTAGTTATTCCAAATGGTGCCATGGTGTCTCTGATTTCAGCACACAGTTGCTCATTGTTGCAGTCCGGTATGTGACTGCTCCAAAATTGGAGTCTTGGCCCAAGCAATCTCCCTGATGCTGTTGTTACTTAGGAAGAATGATGCTTATAGACGCTATGATATAGGTCCTGGAAAATCAGAAGCATGAAACCTATAGTCACTCGTTAGAGATGAACTACGCTAAATGTTCAGTGATTCTCTGTCTCTCAGGAGCTCACACAGGTCTTCTAAGATATTTCCTATGGGATGACTGCTCAGAAACATTCAGAAAAAGATGCTTTCTGGGATCCTTGTGAGAGATTACAGCTCCGAACACCCCTTGCCATGGACAATGTTCGCATTTGGATGCAAACAGATGGGATGGGCTCAATGGGCTGAGCTAAAACCCCAGAGCTGAAAGCACTTGTTGCTACATTTTAATCATGTTGATTAGGGTGATGCCTAACGTCAAGAGTGGGGCCTATGGTGGGAAGCTCTGGACTAACACGGAGCAGGAGTCACCGTCTGTCCTGGAGTGTTTTCAGCAACGCTCTCTGCTTTGCTTCAGCAGCTGCTCCTGCAAGGCGGAATTGGACGGGGTCTGGACTTTTCTTTCTCTCAGAATCAGCTCTATCTTTTGTGCCAAAGGAGAAGGATCCTCCTCCACCTGATGACTGGATTCTGATGCCCTCACTGTTGTTCCTTGTTCTGTGGATTGTCCTATTGAAGTCAGTAGTGTACTAGCTAAGCAAAGTGCTTAATTTATTGTAAGGATATCGGAATCTCCTCATCGCTTTGGATGGAAATAAATAGGACACTGGTGAATAGGATTAAGAATTGGCTAGGCCTGGTGGTCTTTGTGAATGTAGGTGTGTTCCTGATTTCTCCAAGAGGTTGTCTTTTTTCAAATTGCTCATCAGTGCTGCATGTTTCACTGCTGCCTTGCAGAAGCAAGCAGCATATAGCACATCTTGAAAAACTAATCCCTAGTTAATGAGCACAGGGAAGCTTCAGAGAAGGTGACATTGTTAATGCAATGCGAAACATCTGACACACAATCTAATTATTACTAGGGTTTGAAAAATCAATTTTCCTTTGAAGGTTCTGCATGTTCTAATTAGAGCTGTGAAAAATATCCACCAAGCAAGGAAATGCTCCAATTTTTCTTCCCCTCATCAAAGAAAGCTCTGTAAACTCTCACTTTCAGGATCAGCTGAATTGAGTTCAGTGGAGAAAACTTCTAGAAAGAAATGAACATTGTTGGCATGCTGCCTAACAAATGACTCTTCTATTTGCTATGGGAATCCAAAGATTTTTTTTTCCATCTCTCTCTGGCTGAATTAGACTCCAAAAGAAATAACAGAGGTGCCAAACTCTTTCAAAATAACATTACTACAAAGTTTGTAATTTACACTTGCTCACTTTGGATTAGTCTCTCTGACTAGCTTGGCTCAAATAACACAACAAAAGAAAACTTTTCCAGCCCTCCTACAGAATACAGTGAGCAGAATCCATCCCTAGTGCAAGATTGGAGTAGTCCATGTCCATAATGTGTTGTGCTGGTCTTTCTTTCTCATCCCCTTTCTCATCCATTGAAAACATTTTCTCTAATCAGAAGGACCTGGGATTTTGCTGTTAGCCCCAGTTGTGTCTGTTTATTCAGTTCTCATGCATGGCTTATCTTTCTACTCTGCAACAGTGAAAGAAGGTTCCTAATCTTGCCCAGACAGAGAAGCCCAGCCTGATATCTCAGTTAGTAAGAATATAAATTTTTCAACATGGGACAAGAGCTTCAGAAAATGAGATTTCATTAACTTGAGAATAATTTCATTTTCTGCTTGTACAAGGGCTGAGTGGGCCAATAACAAGCAAATATAAACAAGTGAGAGAGACGCAAGAAAGTTCCAGCTTTATAGGCTTTTCAGTTATTATAGATGATTAAGTACATTTCCTCTTTCTCAAACTACCATGGGGTGGTAAACACCTCAACTTCCCACAGAAGAGGAGACCAGTACATCTGTCTCAGATTATGAAGACTGGAGTTTGACTCTTAAATGACACTCCTTTGGATGGAGATTTTACTTTACAAACATAACTTAAAAGCCTTAGGTTAATGCCCTGTAATACTATGATTGGGTGAGTGGGGCCAGTGAAGTCAAAGACAGAGGGACTGGGAAGAAACATTAGAGGACTGGCCCATTGTTTGCAAAATGTTTGACCTGGGGCTAGTTTAGGTGTGCATTTAGTTCTTTGTTTTAATTTTTGAAACCCCACAGTCAAACAAATTGAGGACCAAGACTCTGCGCAACACTCGTAATCCTGTGTGGAATGAGACGCTGGTGTATCATGGCATCACAGATGAGGATATGCAAAGGAAAACACTCAGGCAAGTTGAAGACAAAACCCCAGTGTCTTAAAGTGCACTGGGATGGGGAACTGGATGAGGCTTCTGCAACAGGGATGGGTGTCATCTCCTTCAAGCAAGTGACCTTTGTAACCATGTATGAAGTCGGGCAGAAGTGGAGATGGATGGAAAATGTGTGAAGGAACAGCTTTCCATCAGGAAAGACACAGCTTACTGATAACTGCAGTGTTTCCTGAGGATGTGTCAATTTTAGATGGAATTTTTGAGGGGGGAAATTTCCGAATGATCATGTTATAATGTTTCACTTTGACTTCATCATGCTTTATTTCCTTTAACCTTGGGTACTATTCTACCTTAAATAATATATTATCTATCTAATAATAACTATTTCAAATTCTGTATCAAAATGAAACATTTTGCCTTTGTTGAAACTAGATTATTTTCACATGATGGAAGAAAAATGTCACTTTAGTGCTTCTGAAGTGACATTTTTCAGAATTTCTGTTCCATGGGAAATTTTAAAATTTGTCTTTTAATTTGTTCTAATTCAGAACAAAAAGTTGTCAATTTCCTGTGGGCCAGAAATTCCCTTTTCCAACCAGCTCTTGTCAGCAGTTAGGACAAGGCTGCTTGATTTTTCAGAGGTCTTAGATGTGAGGTTTTTAGGCTTTGTGGTCTACATTCCCCCTGCAAACAAATGTTCTTGATCGCATAGCACAGATTTCTAATGGGAGGATGTGTGAATCTGAACTGAGAAATATCACAGCACATTCAGTATTAGGTCTCTCTTTCTTGTTCAATTCAGGATCTCGGTATGTGATGAAGACAAATTTGGCCACAACGAATTCATTGGTGAAACTCGAGTTTCTTTGAAGAAACTCAAATCCAACCAGAAAAAGAACTTCAACATCTGCTTGGAAAGAGTAATACCGGTAAGTCTCAGGAAGTTCTGCTAGGTCACCTTTGCTTTTGGCACACAATATAAAAATAATATTTAAAGGACTTTGGAGTGACAATGAATTGAAGATTCCCAGTGGCTCTGTGAATGGGAAGGTCTCCTGGAAGGTGTGCAGAATCTTAGGGCCAGTTTCTGTTCTCAGTTCTGTTAGTATAAATCTGAAGTAAATCCTATTGTAGGCCATCATGGGATTAGAGCCTGGTCCAATCACTGCCTGGAATTGCAAAGCACTGGTGTGATGGGGCAGGTCCTTAGGGCATTCTGTTCCATGGATTAGCATAAACCTAATGTATACAATATTAACTCCTCTCCTCCCTAAAACATCCTGGCCGTGTCCAGACTCAGGGGTTTTTTCGGGAAAAGTAGCCTTTTCCCGAAAAAACTTCCCCTGCGTCCAGACTCAAGCCGCGTTCTTTCGAAATTACCGGCTTTTCTTTCGATGGCGGTAAACCTCGTTTCACGAGGAAGAACGCCTTCTTTCGAAAGTTCCTCTTTCGAAAGAAGGCGTTCTTCAATGTAAAGAGGCCGTCTTCGAAAGAGAGCATCCAGACTCGCTGGGTGCTCTCTTTCGAAAAAGCGGATTTCTCTTTCGAAAGATCCGCCTGCAGTCTAGACGCGATCTTTTGAAAGAGGCTCTTTCGAAAGATGCTTTCGAAAGAGCCTCTTTCGAAAGAAGCCTGCAGTCTAGACATAGCCCCTGTGTGGTGGACAAAGAGGAAAACTCTGCTCTTGCCTCTGCATGCTGACTCTTGCGCCTCATGCTCTAAGAGCAGAGGTTTTCAAACTTTTTCTCATGACCCAGTTGAAGAAAATTGTTGTTGATCATGACCCAATATCATGTGACTGGAGTGTGGGCTGCAGGGTGGGGCTGAGGATGAGAGTTTTAGGGTGCAGGAGGGGGCTCATCAGGGCTGGCGCAGGAGGGGCTTACCTTGCGTGACTCCTGGTCAGCGGTGCAGCGGGGGAGGGGGAAGGGACAGGCTAAGGCAGTATACCAGCCTCTCCTGGCACCCAGACCATGGTGCACCCCAGAAGCAGCCAGCTGCAGGTTTCTGCCCAATGGGCATGTGGAGCTAGTGCTCAGGTCAGGGGCAGTGCATGGAGCCCTGTGTGCTCTTCCCCCTCCCACATAGGAGCGAGGCGTGCTGCTGGTCGCTTCTGGGGTGCAGCAGAGTCTGCAGTCAGGACAGGTAGGAAGCTGCCTTAGCTCCTCCACTGGTCACCTGATCCCCCTGCAGCAACGAGACCTAGTGCCTGGCATTCCACCACCCAGTGCTGGGTCATGACCCATAGTTTGAAAGCCACTGTCCTAGAGAGAGTTCCATGAGTGTAGAAAGGGCAGCATAACAGAGCTGAGTTCAGTACTTCAGGGTTGAGTGGAGGATTTTTACCCACTGGCTTTAAACAAGGAAAACTCAGCAAATTGCTGAGGTAAGAACAGTACTAGTTCTTGCAGGAGCCTGTCTGGCTCTCCTGTGCATGTCCTGTCCAACTCTTCACGCCTGGAAGAGGAATCCTAGCTGCAGAACTGACCACACGAGCATGTTGCTCACTCCTGGCTTTGGCTTCCTTCCCTAGAAATAACCTCTAAGAATGCTCAAAGGCTGCTTTAAATAGTTCAGGGACCTAGTAGAGTGCAACGCAGGGTCCTACCAGAGTTTTCCTGAAAGGATGGCTTATGTGGGTGGAGAAAAGATTGCAATGCAGATGGATGGTGCTGGAAAAGAGAAATAAAGAAACTCTTGGAATTTGACGGCTGGGTAGAAGTTGGCCCCCAGGGCTAATCAGAACAGAGTGTGTAGAAACATTCCAGGCATCATTGTCCTTTTGGAAAGTGGAGGTTCTGTCTCTCACTGAAGAGACTGTTGGTATGTGGGACAAATTCACCCCTCTGCGGTCAGCCAGGATGTGACTGCTGGGAGTGTGCAGGAATGTCTTTTTTATGGGAAGAGGCCTCCCTCTGCCTGTGGCATTACTAACAGGAATGTCTCTCTTCCTGCTCCAAGATGAAGCGTGCTGGCACTACCAGCTCCTCTCGCGGGATGGCACTATATGAAGAGGAGGTAAGATGCATGCTCCTCTGGCTCTGGTTTCAAAGGGCGTCATGGGCAGTGGGTAAAGGTAGGATGTGCATCTCTCTCTAGTGCCAGCTCAAACATGTCGTAGTGGTGGTGATGCATATATTGGCTGGCTTGCCTCCCACAGCCCCACCCCACAGCCCCATTCCCCCACCGCACTCCAAGGTGGGAGGTGGGGTGGCACACAGCTCCAGCACCACCTTCCCCACCACCATGGGGAGGGAGGAGGTCATGTAGCCCCATCCTCCTGGCCCCAGACCACTGGGGAGGGTAGAAGGCATGTGTCACTGGTGCTCCAGAAAGGGCAGGCATTGGGGGACAACAACATTCCACCCCAGTATGCCTGTAAGAAGTGTTCTGGGGGTGGAGTGTGGGTGGTGCCACTCTTGACATTTGGGAAGGCAAAGCCTTCTCTCACCTAGCATACCAGCTGCCCATGAAGAGCATCTTTAGCCAAGGGGTGAGCGGCACCGTTCCCTACCTTTTGGTACCACTCTGAATAACAGCTGTTTGTTTTATAATCCCTCTTGCATAGCCTCTTAGTAGCTGCTTGTTATGCAGGTTTCCCATGCAGCTAGGGCAGGGACGTAGCGAGCTTCAGCCTATAGGTCTGACAGCATGGCAGTCAGGGATGCGTTTCCAGCCTGGGATGGCACACCAGAGCTATCTGTAACCTAGCTTGAGTGCTGATCGCAGTCAGACCACGGCAGCATGGATTACATCCAGAGCACATAGCCAGGGTCCTGGGTGGACTGGTACGTACTGTGCTGCTGCAGCTTTCCTGATGTTGGGACTCACTCTAGCTAGAGGGCTGCTGGCTTGGGGGGTACAGCAATTTGATTGCAGCACAGACCTACCCTGAGAGTGCTCTGCTGCCCTGTTATTGGCCTCTGGAGTGAGCAACAGAATTGCTCTTGTAATGCCCAGCCCATGTGTGGGATCTCCAGGTCATTCCTGAGCCCAGGTGTCACATGGGAACCCATCATGCTGCCAATTGTGTGGGATGTGCATCTCTCTCTAGTGCCAGCTCAAACATGTAGAAGTGATGGTAATGCATATATTGGCTGCCTTGCAGGCCTGGAGAACTCGAGCATTTCCCCCTAAGGCTCACTGAAAGGTGGAAATGAGTATGACCTCTCTCTCCCTGGCTGCCTTCAGCTCATTTGCTTGCAAATGCTCTGGCAACTGCAGATTTGTTCCAACCTGAACCTGAGACTAAACTGTGGCATGTGTGATCCCAGACAAAGCTAAACTAGCTAAAACTTTCTTGCAAACTACAGAATGGGATCTGCCAAGGTTCATCTAAGACATACAAACCTTTTAAATCCTTATTGACTATAAAACATAGAATAACAACAACAGGATGTGGCTTCTGCACTATTGTTCACCTTCTGCAAGTGGGGCCCTGTGTTTAAACGTGTCTTTGCCTTCCTCTGTAATTACTTGCGGTCCCCTTTCAAGCTTTTCCTGTTCTCATTTCCTCCTTCCTGCCCCAATGAGTTATGGTACGTCCCTTCCTGCAGAATTCCTGTTTGGGCACATTGCTGGCCTCTTATCCCTGTCCCCTCCTGTAGGTGGATCGCAGTGGTGATGTCGAAGAACGAGGAAAGATCCTTGTGTCCCTCATGTATAGCACCCAGCAGGGCGGCCTGATTGTTGGCATTGTGCGTTGCGTCCACTTGGCTGCAATGGATGCTAACGGATACTCAGATCCTTTTGTCAAACTGTAAGTCAGAGCCCCAAAGTTCTGAAGTGCATGTGCTTGTGCCACCGTGCAGTGGACCATGTGTGCAGTGGGCCCTAAATCATAGCTATTGTCAGAGGAGTAACTTTGTCATACACGATGGCTTCTAATTCTGCAATATCCCTGCTCTGTAATTGTCACTGACTGAAATGTGCTTTAGCTGCTTCTCTGGCCTCAGAGCCCATCCAACAGTGGATGGATAAAATGGATGCTGTCCCAATCATGGGCACTGGGTGAAGGTAGGGCTGGGGGAGGCAAGCCCCCAACCCTACCTCCCAACCCCACCCCTTCGGCCCAGGCCCCACTCACATGGGAGCCAAGGCCCCCCTCTCAGCACCCACAGGGAGAAGGGGGGGTGGCCCCAGCCCCAGCCTCCGCAGAGCACGGCAAAAGCAGGTGGTGCACAATCCCAGCCTCCCCTGATCACTGGGAAAGTGGGTGGCATGTGGCCCCAGCCTCCCTGGCTCTGTAGCATGGGGAGGGCGGGTGCTCGGGGGCAGCGATACTCTGCCCCCAGTTAACATGCAGTAGGTATTCTGGGGTGGGGGCAAAGTTTGGGCAGAGCCAGGCTGGCGGGTTGGGAAGGCAATGCATGGTCCCGGTGACATTGTCAGATGAACTGTAACTGTAGGATCGTTGGGATTTTAATGAAGCAGTATTTCAGCCTGCCACCCAGACACAGTGAAATACATACCCACTCCACGGGCATTTGTGGCATCTATTCTCGTGCTCGTTCCAAGGGTGGGGGCAAAGTTTGGGCAGAGCCAGGCTGGCGGGTTGGGAAGGCAATGCATGGTCCCGGTGACATTGTCAGATGAACTGTAACTGTAGGATCGTTGGGATTTTAATGAAGCAGTATTTCAGCCTGCCACCCAGACACAGTGAAATACATACCCACTCCACGGGCATTTGTGGCATCTATTCTCGTGCTCGTTCCAAGCTCGGTTCTGATTCTTCACCCCTTAAGACACACCACCGTAGAATGGCTGTAGCAGAGGGGGG